GAGCTGGACGTGGTGGCGCTGCTGCAGCGCTACGACTACGTGGAGGGCGACGCCGAGCTCACGCGCCGCTCCCACGTGGCGCTTCTGGAGCTAGTGATCGACAGGTGGGGGAGAGAGGACGGGGGCTCCCGCCCGGCTCCGCACAGCGGCCCGAGCCCCGGCGTCCCCGCCCGGCAGCTGCGGCTTTGTGGCGGGCACTGCGGGGGGGCCTAGTTAAGCTCTAGGCTCTCAGCTCCGGGCGCCCCGAAGCAGCGGGTGCAGGCACAAGCCGGTCCTGGGCAGCGTTGCTGGGAAGAGGCTGCCGCTCCTCCGAGATGTTGCCCGTGTCCCGGTAACGCGGTTGCCAAGCGCTGTCCGTCCAGGCCGGTTCCCGTGCCAGGCCCAGCAGCGTTTCTGCTCCAAGAGCAAAGCTGTGAAAAAAAGCATCAAGGCCATCCCCCGGCTTCTTCTTTAAGAAGTGCTAAAACCTCGGGGCTTTGAAGTAGGACTGTGCAAGGAGGCACCTTTGCTTTTCCTGAGAGACCCTGCCCAGATGTGGCCAAGTGACCAAGTTTGGAAAGATTCTGGGCCTCGGACAGGCATGACACTTGTGGTGCTGTAAACGGCCTCTTAGGGCTGTAGGGCTATAAAGCCCTAAGAAGTGTCTTCTCTGTTCTGCGCTGGTGAGGCCACATCTGGAGTACTGTGTCCAGTTTTGGCCCCCCAGTACAGCAAGGATGTGGACAAGTTGGAGAGTCCAGCAGAGAGCAATGGAAATGGTTTTGGGGGTTGGGGCACATAATTTATGAGGAGAGGCTGAGGGAACTGGGCTTATTTAGTTGCTCCTTGTTCTGTCATCTGCCACCACTGAGAACAGTCCAGCTCCATCCTCTTTCAAACCTCCCTTCATGTAGTTGAAGGCTGCTATTAAATCCCCCCTCAGTCTTCTCTGCTGCAGAGTAAATAAACCCAGTTCCCTTAGCCTCTTTGTGCAGTTTTCCAGCGGTGTAAATGGCCTCTTAGGCACTTATGCACAGTTTGCAATTCTCTTTTCTGCAGTCTGGGCATGCAAGTGTGTGCGACTAAGCTGAGTATGCTCAGTAGTCTAAAAATGAGCTGGCAGGTTTATGATTGTATGCCTGTACCTGAGCATTAGCTTTAGAAAAAAATCAGGAGGAAGCAGGACCCTCCCATGGTTTAGTCCTAATAGTTGACTGGATAAGGGAAATTGTCTAGCAAGTGGTAACTGTATATAAGTGCTTAAAAGGCCACTGACATGCTGGAGAGCTGCCATTCAGGCATACAAAGTAAAGCTGAATCTCATCTTTATCCCCAGGTGACAGTAAAAACCCTGAAAAGTTCAGTCTTACTGAGCCTGCTCCAGTTTAACTCAGCTTCTTGTGCTGACCAGATTGTGGATTTGCCATTTCCACAGAGCAACTGAGCATGCACCTTCCTCTCGGAGTTACCAGATTACATGCCTCATTCAGTACCCAGGATAGACCTATCCTGTAGGAGAATCAGGGTTGTGTAGCGAAGAAGATTGTTGTCTGTAGGACTCCTGCCTCATGTGCTGTGTAGTGATTAGTGACGGAGGTAGAGAAAATCGTTTATGGAAAGAATCAGGTACTTCAGTAAGCAGTGCCTAGGAGAAAAGTAACCATTTGGTCTTTAGAACAGTGTTTGGATACTGTTCAGTAGATAAGGCTTGAGACCACACACTGAATTATGAGGAAAAAACAGAAAGCTTACTCCTTAGTGAAGCACCAGTCAGCCTGTGTGCTGAATGAGGCAAGCATCCTTTAATAAAAAATAATATGTAGTTGTGTAATTGAGGATATCATCATAATGCATAGATGCAAGTGAGTTCATTTAAGGCTACATGGGCATCCTTAATTCTGGCATTGCCTGACTTTGTTACCTTAGCATTCTTTTAACATTCACATGTATTTATTGCAAATTGAGAGCACAAATTTAACATGGTTATATGAATGGTTTGCATTTCTGTGACTTACATTTTTCAAAGTAAGTTATAAACTTTAACTAATCATCCCTACCTTTTGTGGAATAGACATTGTTATCTTTGCTCTGCAAATTGGGAAGCCAACGCACACGTTAACTGACTTACCTAAAGTCTCATAGAGTTTGATAGAACCAAAATTAGAACACAAATCTTATTAGTCCCACTGCTGTTTCTAAAAGCCTGGCCCTAACAGTTTGGCCTTCCCGGAGCCTGTAATAGCTTTAATGAGAGCTCATTTATGAGTCACCCCCACACAGCTGGGAGACCTAGGTACAGGGCCAAACCAGGGACTACCTCCATGTATCCCATCTCAAAGAAAACATTGCTTTGATTTGGTGCCTTTGGAGAGGACCTCAACCCTGATGCATGTTGCTGCCTAGAGTGATTCAGAATTGAGAAAGAGAGTTGCACAAGTGTTCCCCTCTACATGGTTTCCAGTCTCAAAAGGCCCAGGAAGAATGGGCATATGTTGCCCATTGATGCTATCTCTATCACTTGCTTTGATGCTTTGCATATGCAAATCTGAACATACCCCCTTAGATTTGCAAGGTTGTAGCAACCTGCATGGAAAGGCCCTTTCTCCGTGTTCATGTTTATACAGCTCTAAGCTGGATTTCTTTTCTGTCAAAGGCTGCTGTTGCTGCTTCAGAGCTTCACTGGCTATGCAGAAAATCTTATTGATGAACAAGCCGTGCCTCCTCTTCAGGCAGTGGGACCCTGCATGTCCGTTGGGCTGACTGTGAGGAAGTACTGGAACAGCATGCTGAAACTGGGAGCCTTCTATCATCAGTCTGTGAGTGAGGTAGGGTCAACCCTTACATAGGATATTGCTATACTTAGCCAAACCACTGCTCTCTCAAATCTGATATGCTGTCTCTGACAATAGTCAAGCCCTGCTGTTACACAGATGGCTGAAAAAATGTCTGACCAGTAGACCAGCTTGAATAGGGTGGCATTCATGACTGAACCTTCATTGATCAATTAACACTGAAGCACAAGATGAGCTTTACCCTCATCCAATCTTCAGAATTAGCTAAAATGGTATTAATGTATGAAAATTAGCCCGTCTTTTTTTTTTTTTTTAAACCAAATACTATATTTAACTTTTGGCTCCCTGCATCAGGGAATTCTACAGGCTATCTACACAACGCATACTAAGTATGACATTTTGTTTGTTTAAAATTTACTTTCCATTACTTTCTTCAGGTGACCCTTTTCCCATGTTATGAGGCAATGTTAACAGGAGGCCCTAACTGCTGTCCCTTTTGTAACCTAACATTCTACCTCAGTCACGCGCCCTGGAAGGCTTCTTTTTTTTCAGGAGAAATAGTCCTAGTATTTCCCAGCTCACTTCAGATGGGACTCCTCACCAGGTCTCTTAGTAACTCTGTAGTTCCTCTTTGGGTTCTTTCAATCCCTGTGATGCTTTACTGAGGTGGGGCCACTAAGACTGACTGATACTTTCCCAATGATGATGCATCAGTGCTCAGTATGAGCATTAGGGTTGTATTTCCTGCCCTTTCTCTAATAGTAGGGGAAAGAAAACTGGTATCTTGGGGGAATCATAAGTTTGCACTTTGCTTGGTTCCATTTTTTAAAGCTGGGTATCATGTTCTTGGCTTCCCAGTCCAGTGTTGGACCTAGCATTATTTACATATGACAGCATATGTCTTCATCTTTTCTCTCTCTGCTAGAATAAATCTAACAGAAAAGATGTCTCTGCACTGAAATCTACACTGCAGGATTTGAAAGCTGAGAACGAACGTTTGAGAAGCTGTTCACCTGTAATATCTGAATTGGGCACATCTTTCGATTGTACACAGGCAACTACTTCATGCCTCTCACAAAACTTCAGTGTACCAGACTATGATATCAAAGACTTGTCACAGCCAAGATCTGCATATAGCATCATCAGGAATAACCATAGTGTCCATTCTCAGACAATTGAATCATCCTTGGTACCCTGTGATTCTTGTGCCAGTGCCCAGGCCAGCCTCCAGGAGGTCAGCAAAGCCATCGTGAGCATCTGTTGTAACCAGAATATCCCTTCATCCCTGTGCAAATTCCAAAAGATGATTGAGGAGACCATGTTTAACAAGACACTTGCTGCTACAGACATGAGGTACTGGGCATCGGAACAAATGAAGGACCTCTCCCGGATCAATAAACATCTTGGGATGCTGATGCAACTGATAAATCCTTTGAAGACACAACTGGAAGAATCTGAGAAACGGAAGGATGAGCTGAGAAAGCAGGTTGAAGACCTTGCCAAAGTTCTTCAGCAGG